AAGGTTTCTGTATTTTGATTTTGCCCCGGGGGGTAAAATGGGGGTGGAAAAATGTTTTTTTATGTAAAAAGCACCGTCTTCCCTGAATTCCTCTTACATTTGACTAAGCAGCCTAATCATCTTTTAAGACATGTTTTGTGGTGTCATGTAGATGTGCAGTAAGGTTTTGGAATTTTGATTTTGCCCCAGGGGATCAAATGGGGGTCGAAAAATGACGTTTTTTTTTGCTAAAAGCACCATCTTCCCTGAACTCCTTCTACATTTCACACAGAAGCCTGATCATTTTTTGGGAGTTGGTTGGTGGTGTCATGTAGATGTGTAGTAAGGTTTCGGAATTTTGATTTTGCCCTGGGGGGTCAAATGAGGGTCAAAAATTGATGTTTTTTATGCAAAAAGTCCCGTCTTCCCTATAAACTCCTCTTACATTTTACTCAGTAGCCTAATCATCTTTTAAGAGATGGTTGGTGGTGTCATGTAGATGTGCAGTAAGGTTTCGGAATTTTCATTTTGCCCGGGGGGGGGGGGGGGGGTCAGAACGGGGTAGAATTTTTTTTTTTTTTTTTTTACATATATTTGATATGTTTAATCACCCTGCTTTCAAGAACTTCCCTAATATCTTATGCTGCAATAGCTTTAAACCATGATCATTTAAAAAATGATTATTTTGTTTTGCGTATATGTAAAATGGTTTCAAAATTTGAATTTTCATGTGGATGGCAAAAAGGGGCAGGAAAAATATGGCCCCTCCCTAACCCTGGGGGTCATGATTTGTACAAACTTGAATCTACACCTCTTGAGAATATTTCCATATTAATCATGCTCTTGGTGTTCTTGAAAAGAAGAATTTTGAAGATGTGTTTCCTTTTATTCCTAAATAAAACTTTGATCCCTAATTGTGGCCTGACCCTAGCCTGAGGTGATGATTTGAAAAACTAGAAATATGTCTATAGGACATGAATGTCCCGCCAAATGTGTATTACTAATGGTACATGAAAATTTGTATTAGTGTACATGTATAAAGATGACAGATGAAAGGGTGGAGGACGGACATGACAAAAACTAACACATGTATTCCTAATCATGGCGTAGCATAAAAAACTTTAATCTACATTATATGAGGATGTTTCCATATCAAGATTATACAAGCAAATTCAAAGAATTGTGGTCCTCTGCTTTCTGTGTTTAAGTGAATGGGATGCCATAATTTATGGCAGATTGTGTGTCAAATATGCACCCCTATCATAAGTCACTTTATGAAAATTAGGTCAAAGGGGGGAAATCATCGCATGCTCGAAATATTTTGTTGTAGGTAAATTACATGTCAAATATGAAAGTCCCATCTATTTTCAATCAAAAGTTATATGTATATAAATATATAATATAATATTTTTGAAAAGTAGGTTAAACTTCTAGGTCAAGATCACAGAGTCAAAAGTCATGATATATTTAGAAAAGTCTTTTCACATGTAATATACATGTATAATTTAAATGCCATATCTTTTCTCTTTCAAAATGATTAATTTAAAATGTTATTTTTTGGAAAGTTAGGTAAAATTTTAAGGTCAAGGTCTCACTTGGGTTAAAAAATCATAGTACATTTAGAAAGTTTTGTGGTAATGTACATGTGAAATATGAAAGACCTATCTCTTATTATTCAAAAGTTATGACCAAGGTTAAATTTATTGTGACAAATGCACATACTGTCAAAGATGGCCAGACTGAAAGACAAATAAGATTTAATGTTCCCTCCGGATCCCTTTCCCCCAAAACGGGGGACAATAATGCCCTTGCTGTTCTTAAGAAGATTTATGATGGAAAAAATCCCCTGCATATTTCTTAACGCAAATCAATATTGTGTTTTATGTCATTTAATTGTTTGTTTGTTGTTAAACATCCCTCTCAGGAATTTTTCACTCAAATGGAGACACCACCACTTGAAAAATAATGAGGACAAGTCAGATTTGAGGTCAAAATTCATTTTAGGAGTTTTCAACCATTAAGATGTAAAGAGACATAAACTCGACCCTTCCCCTCACCCCATCCCAGACCCCTGTTCATTCATGACATGTATGCAAACTACTACTTGTTTTTACATTTAAAAAAAATGTTAATAGCCTATACACAAATGCTTTAATGTGGTCCATCTCTTTGAATGATTTTCATTCCTAATTCTAGGAGGATAGGTTGTTGAATAAAATGTCAAGCAATCTTATCATTGATGCACTTTTATTTAATTTAATGCAGTCATATTGTGAACATTTCCAGTTAGAATCATTAGGAGAGTGGGGATCACCTCCAGAGGGTTCAAAACCTTTATACCATTAAATTTACATAACATAAAAACACAAAATTTGAAAAAGCAAAATTATGTATAGTCAAATGGAAAAAGTTTCCTACTATTTAGGAGTCACATGATCATTTGTCATCACTGATTACAGGGACAGGGAGTGGATTGGGAGACCCCCCCCCCGAATTTGCAGGACTATAATATACATGTATACTGAAGCAAATAAAAAAGACTTTGGATGCCCTCCACCCTAGAAAACAGACACCACCATAACTTCTCCTTTTATTTACTTCTCAGGAAATTCTGGTCTGGAAATCCCCCCTCCCTCCCAGAAATAAAATTCTGTATCTTGTAACTGAATGTAACGTCGATAATGGGCGATAACTCTACAGAATGTGAAATTCGTCTTATTGCAGCATCGGATGACCTTTGATCCTTTAAACTTTAATCTAACCAGTTGCATTTCAGACTATTTTACCCAAATCTATACCAAAACTTGTACTTACCGACTGCCATAGGTCGATCCCGTCAACTTGAAGTATAATCCAATTAAAACACAAAACAATTCCTACTGACATACATGCAATGATGTGTACACAACAATAGTACTGCACGTGCAGTGCTATCTAAAAATGATAATGGTAAAACTTATAAGTACTTAAGTTTGCTACGTGACGCAAGCCCAATGTGATGCAGGTCTTCAGATACATTTATAGTATAAGAACAAATTTAAAAGCACATTTATATTTTATAAATAATTTTATGGCACATTTTTGTAGTAAAAGGGGGATAACTCTAACATTACACTTCACAGAAATGTAGATTGGCTAACTTGGTATGAATTGACGCATTGCGCGCACCTCCGGATATACGTCATAAAATCCTTCCCAAGCAAGGGCTCCATGCAGAATCCACATGTACTTTTGACTTGATTTTACAAAAAAGTGAACGGTATGTAAGTCAGTCAGTGTTATACGTTATTGCAGACCGAGTTTCGGGTGGAAATTGTTATAAACAGTATTTTATACGAAAATTCATCCTAGATCTTTAAAGTCTCATAGTGATTTTTCCCCGCATCGCGCGGGCTCAGCAACAATTTGAGCATGGAGCCATGTTGGCAGTGGAATGGCGCGCAGGTGTGACTACTTGTAAATTAAGATATTAATTAGTGAAATATTGAAACAGAGGGACACGCCATTTAACAACGGACCACATCGAAACTGACATTTGCGGCATCAGTGACCAGTTGCTCATATAACGTTAGTGAGATAATATTTGGGCCTCGTATCAGTCAGAGAGGTCAAGGTCATTCACGAAATTCAGACAATGACACGCGTGTTGATTTTGGGGAGTTCCCATACGAATCGTCTGAAACAATTTATAGACAGGAATCCCCACTTAAATAATTTTGCATTGGGAAACGATCCCCTTGTAAATTTTTATGGTATCGGTGGAGGCCGCATTAATGACTCAGCTCACTGCCAGCGATGGGAACAGCAAATATCAAGGTGGCTACCACACCATCTTATCTTTCACGCCGGTGGAAATGATTTGGATGACAGAGAGTGTTCCGAGAAACTAGCTAATGAAATAGCATTGCGCTTAATCGCTTTCCTAGATAGTGTTAAATGTAAATTCGACATTAAGAGTGTCACAATTATGCAGTTGTTGCCCCGCTATCATACCCGGAATGTATCAGTAGCAATTTACAACGATACTGTCAGAATATTTAATGCTTTTTTAAAGAAAGAAATTCAGGATGGGGGTTCCTTGCGCTACTGGAACATTCAGGGAGTTAAGAATAGTCCACATAATGTATACATTGATGGTGTCCATTTTAATGATGAAGGCAACAATAAGTATTACAGGAACATGCGGGGGGCAATCATACAAGCGATAAGAATCTAATTGATATATATATATGTTTCTAGATTATGATGATTTTTTCTGTCTATGTTGGTCTAAGTGTAGATGTACATGCATATTTTCAAAATATTTACTATTTCAGGTCACAAGCTCTGAAAGTCTATGACTTGGCATTTACAGTAATTTACAGGGGGGATCAACACCTAATTGCCAGCAATTATTAGATATATCACGTAAGCATCAAAATCAAAATCTTTTGAGTAAAAGTGTAATCAGTTTGAATAACGCTGCAGTACATTGGTGTTGCCCTACATTGTAACAGTGCATTATAATTCCCCTACATTGTAACTGTGCATTATTACGAAACTGTACTTATACAATATTTTACACTTGTACAATTAAACAAACAGTATATGACATGTTACTACTCTGCTATTTAATGATGCAGTACACTTGTACATGTTTTTAGTGCACTGGTACTAACTATGTGTGAACTGTACACTAGTACAGGAACTCTTAGTACACTGGTACTAACTACTCTGCTATGCAAGTACTGTACACTAGTACGGGGACTCATTTAGTACACTGGTACTAACTACTCTGCTATGCAAGTACTGTACACTAGTACAGGGACTCATTTAGTACATTGGTACTTACTACTCCGCTATGCGAGTACTGCATATTAGTACATGCTATCCTTGATTCCCAGCCCGGTAACTGTACACTAAATGACTCATACAAATAATGATATATTACATTAGTAAAATTAATGATCAAACATAGCATTTCACACTAGATGAGTTACACCCCTTTTATTTCTAGGATATGGCAGAACCACCAAGAAAGTCGAGACGTTTAGCAAGTAAACGACCGGCACCACATAACATTCCAAGTCCAAGTAATCACACTCAAACCATACAAGCTGTGGTTGAAGATCCGGGGGTACAATTCCATAATCAAGTCCAACAGCAAATAAGGGCCGCCATTCCAGACATAACTAACTCAGTAATCGCAGCACTTAGGCTCAAGGAGTCATTCCCATGCCTCAACAAGTACAACAATCTGAAACACCCCCAATACCTTCAACATCAGTGGAAGTCAGTCCACAACAAACACCTATAACATCGGCTTCCTCTGATTTAAGCACAGAGACAGCAGGAACTTGTTCCACGGCTGGTTCGACCCAGAACTCCAACATGAATGACAGTTTAACACAATTTTTGAGCACAGGTAATAATAATGCACAACTTGATCAGCAGTCTCTAGAATTGGAAACAACTGCTTCATGTATAAATTTTTCAAGTCCGAGTATTTCAAAACCGCTGGCATTGGGGGTTGATCCCAAAATTAAAGCGAAGATTTGGGCAAACGAATATATTGATCTAGGGAGTTTATTAAACAAAAAATTTCCTAAGGTACGTTTTCAGGTCATTGAATCCCAACAGGGGGGGATAAGTTGGGAGAAACAACCACCTCCAAAATATCGTTTTGAGTCTGTGGCACACTGGCTGTCTGCCTTCCATATATTTGTTAGTATTTATTGTGAAAAGTACCCAGACCAAGCTTGCGCTTTAATGAAATATGCAAATACAATTCAAACATTAGCAAGAAGGTCAGGTGATATTGCAGCTTTTAATTATGACCGTACCTTTCGGGAATGGCGCGAGCATGATTGGAAAAAATTACCCTGGGATCAGGTAAACAATGAACTATACACAGAATCTGTGTCCTTGGGGATTACAGCTAAATTCAATTCCCTGAAGGGTACCGGCCAAAGCCAAAACAAGTCGAGTTTTAGTCGGGGGCCGCCCTTTCTCTCTGCTGGAGTTCCATTGCGGAACTCCAGGAGAGGGCTCTATTGCTACAGTTACAACAACAATGGCGAGTGTGAGCGAGGGCCAGACTGTAGATACCCCCATGTCTGTGAAAAATGTGGAGGTATGCACAGCAAGAAAGAATGTAAAACCCAGTCTCACAAAAGAAAAAGGTCAGATGCAGGGTCAAACCTTGCCCAAAAAAGGCCAAGTGGATCTAAGAGCACTCCCACAAAATAGTGTAATTACTCCAATCAGTGTTTTAAAATTTAGTAAATGGCTGGATGGGTATGATAAGCAAAACAAACAATTTCTTATTAATGGGTTTAGGCAAGGTTTTGTTATACCTTACAAGGGGGAAAGAAAGTACAGATTCAGTAAAAATCTACAGTCTGCAGTAGAACACCCAGAAATTTTGATAGAAAAAATTTCAAAAGAGGTCGAAGCAGGACGGGTCGCTGGACCTTTTGTTAAAGTTCCTTTCCCTAATTTACAAGTCTCCCCATTAGGTTTGGTGCCTAAAAAAGTTCCTGGGGAATTTAGGGTCATTCATCATCTCTCTTATCCTAATGATAAATCAATCAATGATGGAATCCCAGATGAGTTATGCACAGTTCAGTATCAGACAGTAGATGATGCCATTAAGTTGGTCAAGTTTTATGGGAAAGGTTGCTTATTGTCTAAGACAGATATAGAAAATAGTTATAAAATCATCCCCATACACCCCAGTTGTCACGACTTGCTAGGTTTTGCAATAAATGGTGAATTTTACTATGACAAAACATTACCCATGGGCTTAAGCTACTCATGTAGGTTGTTTGAAACATTTAGTAGTTCCTTACACTGGATTGTAAACAATAAGATGAGAAGTGGAGGGTGTGTTCATATCTTGGATGATTTTCTTTTTGTGGGACCAGCTGGTTCTCAGTTATGTAAGCAGACGTTATCACAATTTTTAAGTATGGCTGATATAGGTTTGCCTATTAAAAAAGAGAAGACAATTCAACCAACTACTACCATTACATTTTTGGGGCTGGAATTTGACTCGGAGATGATGGAAGATAGGCTACCTAATGATAAGCTTATAAAATTACGTGAACGCCTAGAATATTTCAAAAGCAGAAGAAAAGTTACACTAGAAGAAATTCAGTCATTAGTAGGGCTCTTGAATTTTGCTTGCCAAGTGGTATCTCCAGGTCGGGCTTTTTTGAGACGAATTATTGACTTAACAGTAGGGTTAAAGAAACCTAATCATTATCGTAGGCTCACAAATGAAGCAAGAGCAGATATTAACGCCTGGTATATATTTGCAGAAAGTTTCAATGGTAAAAGTTTCTTTCTGTCGAACAAGTGGGAATCTTCTCAGGAGCTTAATCTATATACTGATGCTAGTAACTTGGGCTTTGGGGGCATTTTTGGAACAAAGTGGTTTTATAGTAAATGGAATGATGAGTGGTTAAATTATCACATCACAATTCGGGAATTATTTCCAGTCGTTGTTGCATTGGAATTGTGGGGCCATGAGCTGAGGGACAAATGTGTAATTTTCCACTCTGACAATATAGCAGTAGTTCATATAATTAATAAACAGACATCCAAAGATAAAACAATTATGAAATTGGTCAGAAAATTTGTTCTGCACATTTTGAAATATAATATTTTGTTTAAAGCATGTCATATTGCGGGGAAAATAAACGTTGCAGCTGACCATCTTTCTCGTTTGCAGATCAAACAATTCAAGACAGAATTCCCTCATATGGACCCTCGGCCAGTTGTAGAGTTAGTGGAAATGCAGAATCTTTAAAAAATTTGGCATCGTGGTTACTTACAGAATCTCTAGAAAAAACATCTCGGCAATCTTACAGACGCATTTATTATTTCTATAAACAATTTTTGCAGGAATACTTTCCCAGTACTCCAGTTTTCCCAGCTACCCTTGAACATGTCACTATGTTTATTGCACATTGTTTTCAAAAAGAGTTAGCCACATCCACAGTATTAACATATGTATCTGCTATCAGCTATTTACTGAAGTTGGGGGGATATAATGATGTGCCCCAACACTTCATAGTAATTAAAACACTTCGTGGATACCCAAAAATTCAAAAAAATTAAGACAATCGCTTACCAATTACACCTTCGATTTTAAAGGGATTAGTAAGTTAATTACCCCATACTTGTTCATCACAGTTAGTACGAGTAATGCTACGAGCAATGTATTTAACAGCATTCCATGCCTTTTTGAGAATTGGGGAAATTACTGGTTTACCACCACCAAACGGCAACTGCTTAAGTGTAAATAATGTAAAATTTGTGTATGAACAAGGTGTTCAGCCCACAGCAATGGAAATTCAAATGTCAAAGTTCAAACATAGTACAGGTAAACACATCCCAGTGCTTCTAATAACTGCAAACAAAACATCTGAAGAAATGTGTCCGGTTTTATCTTTATGGAATTACTTGAAAATTAGGGGTCAAGAAGCTTCTAAAGTACAAACCCTGTTTTCTTTTATGAATAACTCTCAAGTGTCACGTCATTTCTTTTCTGAACAGCTTCAACTATCCTTGAAATATGTTGGTTTGAGTGTAAAAGATTATAAATCACACAGTTTCAGAATAGGGGCAGCAACGACTGCATGGGCCAAGGGTTTTACCGAGGAGCAAATTCAACAAATGGGCAGGTGGAATACAAAGTCTTTTAAAAAGTACATTCGGGTTCCTATGTTACAAGTTTAATGATCTGGGGAACAAGAACTCGGGGAGAAGCGGGGTCTGTATTTCCCAAAATTGGATGTCATACTAAGGCAGGCGGCTGGTGTGCCTATCAAATATAATATCAGCTTGGGTACAAGGGTCTCAGCTGCTTCAGTCTCATGTTTGTAATTTAGGAACACTGCAAGTTTTATATCAACTTGGGGACAAGGGCCTCAGTTGGTCTATTTTAGTATATATTTAGGTTGTTCATGTTACAACACTGCAAGTTTTATATCAACTTGGGGACAAGGGCCTCAGTTGGTCTATATTAGTATGTATACTAAGGTTGTTCATGTTACAACACAGAGAGTTTCATATCAGCTTGGGGACAAGGGCCTCAGTTGGTTTATATATGCATGCTTTTCCTGATAGAATACTGTAGTTTCATATCAGCTTGGGGACAAGGGCCTCAGCTGATGTGCTCTTTACATTTATATGACATAGGTGACAGGACATTTATAGCATTTTGGGGACAAGGGCCTCAAATGTTAGGTACCGTATTTTATGCCGGAGTTTATGTAATAATTTACCATTTAATTTTCTTCAATGAATGTTTTAGAGCATTGAAAATAATAAAAGTACGATAATTGTAGTGGGAGTTTTTTATGTTGTGGATGGGGGATATTGTGTGTCTTTCACAAAAATCACTAGATTTGGTTTAATACACACAATATGGTGGCGGTTTTTTCCCCCATCTTTGATGGTTGTAGCATTTTATCACATTATCTAATCATTTTTTAAAGTGTTTAAATTTGAAGTTGATGTGTATATGGTTGCTTTTAATTCTAATCTGTCACATATGTTATATTTGTGATCATACATTTTATCATACCCGATTATGATTATGGAAAAGTGTGATTATGATTTTGACACTTCTTGGAACTGATCTGTTATTACTGATTAGCTAGATTGACTGATTGTGATTGATTATATCAATTGATTGTGAATTTTGATTTTGAATTGTATGATTATGAATTATGGATCTGACTAATTATTGTTGATTAGATTGATTGTGAGTTTTGTCTTCGTCATTTTAATAAATGACAATTTTCAATTCAATACATTCTCTATTGTTTATTCTATCAACCATCAAACAAAGCACAACATGCAGAATTGTGCCATAAAAGCACATTTATATTTTATAAATAATTTTATGGCACATTTTTGTAGTAAAAGGGGGATAACTCTAACATTACACTTCACAGAAATGTAGATTGGCTAACTTGGTATGAATTGACGCATTGCGCGCACCTCCGGATATACGTCATAAAAACCTTCCCAAGCAAGGGCTCCATGCAGAATCCACATGTACTTTTGACTTGATTTTACAAAAACCCAACCCACCCTTCCCCTTTTTTTGGTATTTATTTTAATACAGATAGCCTTTTAGCCAATGTCAAAGGTTGATGGATAGGTTTTTACCCCCATCTTTGATGGTTGTAGCATTTTTTCACATTATCTAATCATTTTTTAAAGTGTTTAAATTTGAAGTTGATGTGTATATGGTTGCTTTTTATTCTAATCTGTCACATATGTTATATTTGTGATCATACATTTTATCATACCCGATTATGATTATGGAAAAGTGTGATTATGATTTTGACACTTCTTGGAACTGATCTGTTATTACTGATTAGCTAGATTGACTGATTGTGATTGATTATATCAATTGATTGTGAATTTTGATTTTGAATTGTATGATTATGAATTATGGATCTGACTAATTATTATTGATTAGATTGATTGTGAGTTTTGTCTTCGTCATTTTAATAAATGACAATTTTCAATTCAATACATTCTCTATTGTTTATTCTATCAACCATCAAACAAAGCACAACATGCAGAATTGTGCCATAAAATTATTATTTACAAAAGATGTTTTATCTTAACTTTGCCATCTAGGCCTATTTCCAAAAACAGGAAAATAGGGTGTGTTTGTGTGTGTGTGTTTTGATGGGAGAGGGGTGGGGGTTGACTAAATTGATTGGGTATACATGGTATATGGCAGCTTTCAAGGTGTTTCTGCCTAATCAAATATAAAAAAGTTTGTACATTTTGAAAAAAAATCACCAAAAACGCTTTACACTAATTTGAATAATATTATTTGTTGTTGATCTATATATGAGAAAATAGATTTTAAAAGTTCCAATTATGGGCCAAAAATTTATACCCCCCCCCCCCCTTTATCAAACCTAATTTACATCATTAATTAAATTCTGTTGTTTAATTTCAGACTGGTAATGAATTACGAATATGAAATACCTATAAGATCGAGGCCCATGGGTCACATGGTCACTTGAGAATATTATGCTCAATTTGATGAATACATGGAGGCCCTATTATGTAAATTATTGAATTATATTGACTTTTTCCTTGGTAAAGCCCAATATTTAAAGGAGTGTGCATTTAGAGGCAAACACCTTAGTGCGGGTATTACTGTCTCATGACAGCATCTAGTTGATTTTGTAATGCTTCTTTCGTCCAAATACCCCGTGGGGATCCGGGTTAAAATAGGTCCTCAGTACCCCCTTGCTTGTTGTAAAAGGAGACTAAATGGGGTGGTCCTTCGGATGAGACCGAATAAACCGAGGCCCCGTGTCACAGCAGGCGTGGCACGATAAAGATCCATCCCTGCTCAAAGGCCGTAAGTGTCGAGCATAGGCCAAATTTGCAGCCCTTCACCGGCAAAGTTGACGTCTCAATATCAGTGAAATATTCTGGAGAGGGACGTTAAACAGTATACAATCAATCAATCAATCAATCGTCCAAATAAGGTTAGATGTCTATTGTTGCTTAGATCAGCGATAAATGGTCCTTGAACCCCTCTTTTTTATATAACAGGGTGTGTTTTTAATTTTTTTAAAGAAGGTTTATCTCAACCTTTTCATCTTTTTGTATAATTATATTCTCAAATTTCTTGAAAAAATATCAGTGTCGTACCTTTTACTGAATGTACATACATATATTTGGGTAGGAAAGATAAAGAATTGGACTGAGGGACCTTCCACCTGTCTTAAGTCAGTTTTTCGAAAGAAGTTTATAAAAATAAGTGGTCTAATTACTAAAATCTCAGTCAAATTTTTTGGCTTGATACATATTTTTTCAAAGTGCGTTAAATGTCTCTTTGGTTTAAAACCTAGATGTACGAGGGGCGTTCAATAAATAATGTCATCAGGGCTCGGAAAGAAACAAAAATCGCTTTTCTATGATTTTGTCTTAATGATTTAACTAAAATATTCTCTTTCAATTAAAAGACATGTCCGTAACATTTTTATTCAATTTCTAATTGTTTTTCGAACACAGTTTTGAGTATGACCCTTCGTATACTGGAAAATGGCAGATCCTATGATTTGCTGTGCTTGTTTTTTTCTTTCTGAAAGGTGTTTTCCTAAGTTTGGGAAATGAAACAAGTCAAAGATTGAAAGATCTGGCGAATATTGTTGAAGTGATAAAACATAAACTTTTTGTTTACCCCAAAACTCCTTAACATTTCATGGCCTGTGGGTTTGGATCCTGTCAGGAAGGAATTTAATGTAGTGAATTCCTCATTCTGTTTCCTTCCTCTCATAAACCTTTCAATGTTTGGGCAAATATTTTGCTTACTAGACTCCTGCAGAAATTGAACTACCTCCCTATATATGTAATTGAACAACAAGACAGCTAATATTTAAGAAAATAGCGTATAAAACTGTTTTTGTGTTCTTGCAAATTTTTGCTCTTCGTAGGCCTTTGTAGTTTTGTCAAGGACTTCTTATTCTAAATTTGTTTTGAGGGTTCAACGAAAAATGGATTCCAGTTTCATGATCTGTTTGAATTTCAGAAAAACATGGATAAGAACAATTTTTGGTTTTTTAAAAATAATTGTTTAGATTTTCTGCACGCTCTCGTTTTCACTCATATCTATAAATATACGGTGACATTTGAGTATTAAACTTTTTTACAATTAAATGTTTCTTTAATACAGTGTAAACTACCCCCGATATGATGTCTATCACATTTGCTATGTAACTTAAAGTCAATAAAACATAGATCTATGATAATTTGTTGAATTATCGCTAATATACATTGGTTGTTGTAAGTTCTTGTTGACATGGAGGGTACCCATTTTCGATGACCATTATATAATTTTTGTTAATTGAAATCCACCTTTTAATGTGTGTATGAAACGGACATAAGTTGCTGTAAATTTCACATATTTCAGTTAATATATTGTTGGGAAATTAACACGTTTTACAGCAGCTTAAATGATGCGTTCAATTTTACTCTAATTTACTGATTCTTGACCATTCATTTTTAACGCAGTGTCTCGAGTAGCCCTTGTTTTCCAGCTTCTCACAATGAAATTATGCGATGAAAAGTGG